AAGGCATTCTTTTTGAAAGCAGTCCTGTTCTGGGCAGTTATTAGGCAAATGGGTATTGATTACACTGTGCTCATTCTCAGCTTTCCAGCGGTAAATAGTTCAAGAGAAGGAAAATAGAGTCATTTCCTAGGGAATTCCTAGCATTTGGGGATGGGAACCTCCCTGAGGTCACGTTCCGCAATTTCTTTGCCTCCTCACCACCCACCAGCTTTCTGATGGAAGCCTTTCCAGCTTCAGTGGAGCAATTTAGGGGAGGGAGTAGTGAAGAGAATCAAGTATGTGCTTTTGCAAGCCGCCCAGAGAGCCTTCAGGCTATAGGGTGACATACAACTGTCATAAATCCATACAAATGTTTGTAGCCCTAATAGCAATAGACATTCCAATAATCCATCTATCTGTTTATGTCACCTGAAGCATATAAACAACTTTGTCTTACCCTGTTTACATACCCTTTGAGGTATGGATAGACTACATTAAGTTGATTGACAGGTTGTCATTTAGGGGTCTTTTTCTCCTTGTCACAAGCATATGGGAAAATTTGTACACTAATGAGAAAAGGTACATTTGAACCTGACAATTAAAGAGTGAGTATTGAGCACACGTGATGCTTGAACTAAATTTAATGACATCTAATCTGAATTTGCAGAACTCTTTAAATCCTGAACCTTTTCTATGCCGTGTATCTCCTGAAAGTTGCTTTGCTTTCACAGTCCTTCCTCTCCATCTCTTTTTGATTCTCTTTTTTGCTTTTCCAACCATTGTTGGGTTTATATTACAGGAGGGGTGTGTAACATCTGGTAAAAATAGATAATGTTGTAGGTCTGCTTATTTTGTATTACTATACATTAACAAAAGTGTCAATAGTAATAATTATGTCTAAAACTTTTTTTTTCAACGAGCTTCAGCCATATGCAAAAGGATTTTGCAGTAGTAGGATCCAGTTCTGTCAATCAACTGCAACACCATATTTGTCAATGAACTTACCTAGTCTGAGTATTTTATCTCACATGCCCAGAAATCATGTGACCATGAGACACTGAATTACAGTCTTTGATATCACATACTGGCAACACTTTGAACCATTTCCACTGACTTTCCTTTTCATATTAATTTGCAGGCATTCCCAAAACAACTCTTCCACTTTTCCAAATAGTAGAAAAGTATCTCATTCTCTTGAGATGTCCTGAACATGTGGCTTAATATGTCCCATAGAAGCGTAAAACCAGATCTGTGTGTAATTTCCTGGATATCTATTATTCTCCAGAGTCATACACACTATGGCAATGAGAAAATTTCATGTAGGTATCAGGGATGACCATATAATCCAACAGCTCCATGTAGGCAACAGTTTACAAAGGTTAGAACAGATGTGTGGGCCCTGTCCATGCAGATGTGTTTTCAAGAACAGCCCCACCACAGTCTCTCAGTCAGGCCTAACTCTGATTGTGAGATGACAGCGTGCCATAAAGCACTGAGCAGGAACAGCTTTGACAGACAGATGCCTTCAAGTACACAATATGTTAGCAAATTGACAGAAGTAGCTCAAACAAGCTAATTCATATGTTACAAGAGAAGACAATCTCTTCCCTACCCACAGGTTCACCAGCCAATCTATCTGAGAAGGAGCAAAAAAGTATTCATATTCCCTACCATAGTGATCTGATCACTTATAATGAACCTTTTTGGCAAAACCACCACAAGTCAGGTCCAAAGTGTGAGACAGAGCCAATCTAGTGCATTCTGCAATATGTATACTGCTTTTTCTGCTTCAGGGTGATTTTGTCTCCAGTCTACTAATCCAGGGAATAGGTAGCAAGGTACAGATCTAGCTACATATGCACCCACACAACAGCCAAACCTAATACTCCGTGGCTCCCATCTGGGAGTGCTACAAGCTCCCATGGCTCGTACAATCTGCGTCACCCACGCTTTTGGTTGGCTTCCTACGCACGGGCACAAATCAAAACCTATTTTAGCATGAGGGCTCTAACCAACAAAAGATCTCAAGTTATGGTAGCCATAAGCACTTCACGGGAAAGGAGGAAAGTCTTGGGGGCCAAAAATAAAGGCTACATTTAATTTCACAATGCTCACATTCCTCATTCTACCCCCACACAAGGCAAATGGTAGCATGGGATTTATGGATTTGATGGAGGAATCATACACTAGGAAAAGGATACTTCCCCAAGCATAGCTTCATCTATCAAACTGGCAGCCCCCCTGGCTGCATTTCATCAAAACCAAACATTTCAGGAGATCCAATCACAGATCTCTCCTGAAATATGAAGTTTGCCCCTGAACTTTCAGTGGGCATATTTGGGATGCCAGGAGCTGTTTGGCAAACTGCCAATGAAACTGCCTCAGAAAGAGACTTATATCTCATCCAAGCCATACCGAGGCAGCAAGATTCTAACAAGCGTCTATCTCATTCATCTATTTTTAGTATTCTTCTCACTGTTTCTTCATTTTTTTCTCTAATCAGTTATTAGCCCCTTTTACCACACTGCATTCTCTTCCTCTCATCAGAGCAAAGGGGGAAAACAAACTCAAAATATACTTTATTCCATCTTCCAAAACAGTATTATATTCAGATGGCATTACTGCAATGTAAATACTCCAGCTTTGCAGCAAAATCTGACCCCAATATCTCTAAAACCAAAGCTGTTCATTTTATGATTGGCTCTTTGGCTAATATTTCTGAACGTTCTTTCTTTTCTTAATGTTCTGTGCTGGCAATGCATAAGCTTAATGTGTTTTAGACCACACCAGAGAACTCCTCACAGTTCTGCCCAGGAAAAGCTTTCTTAAGCTAACTGTGTCTAAAGTTCCATGTTGGAACATATTGATGATATAGTTCAAGGCCAAAGCAATAACTGAAAAATATATTTTTCCTATCTTCTCTTCATGCATTCAGTAAAAAAAAAAAATTGTTAATCTCACATTCTGCCCCCTACAGGACAGGATGCTGTTCAACAGACCTGTTTTTGATGGCTGGCAAAAGTTATCTCTCTCCTGGTTGGCAGTGCTATAAGATTAACTGCAGAAGAAAGTGAGAAAGAAAAATGAAAAATGGAGTCTTTGAGAAAATAAACAGAATAGCCGAAGGCTTGGAAAGGAAAGAGAGCCACTCGTTTAAAAATGTGCAAGGTTGGTTTGATGAAAGAAGTCAAAATGTAAAATAGAAAAATTGGGCTACTGACCAATTATTTCTCTCCGCACAGTTCATTCACTTTAAGCATTTAACATAACCAAATTGCTGTTTTTACAGTATATGACCAGCTCATCACAGGTACACTAAGTCCATTCTTTTTTCCCACTGTAACAGATCAACTTACAACCAACATTCATGAAAGTATTTCCATCACACTCCTCTACAGTCAATTTCCACAAGAAAATTATTTGTGTTCATCCAGACACGAATCTGGATGTACAAATGCATTTGCCAAGGACACAGAGGTTTGGCCTAGCCTGGTCTGCCTATTTTTCCCTCTCAAACATTATGCATGAATGACCCCACATTTTCAAAAAAGTTCATTAGCTCAGAAGACCATTTAAAAATGAAATCAAGAGATTACAAAATTTTAACCAGCAACTTCTCTACATTATGCAACACACAAGGCTCTTGAAACAAAGCTGTTTGATTTTGCCAGCTGAACGCTTGAGACAGGTTGACGCACAAAGACAAAGTACAGTGGATACCAAAATAGCACATTAAGCACAACTGACTTTTCTTGGCACACTTTAATACCATTCCTGATACGGTTAAAAATTAGTAGCTGAGAATAAAAAGGGAGGAAAAAGGGGAAGGGAAGGGAAGGTTTTCACTTTGCCAAGGGCCACAGCAAGAATCAATACGTTAGCACTTGGATTTCTGTTTCACAGGATATACAACATTATTTTAGAACGACTGAAGACAGCAGTCAGAGGAAGAATTATTTGTAAGGAAGTTCAACTTGAAAGAAAAGATTTTTCCTCCTAAATAGGCGTCATCAATTAAAATAATTTAGAAACCCACATTTGTCATCATGTATCATTCATTCAGAATATAATCAGTTTGTCAAACAACCAGGTTTCATAGGTAATTAATACTTTGTTTTCCGGTCAATAAAAAAATAAAGAGAATATTCTATCCTCGGTTGGCTATCTGCTGAGCCTAACAGGCATGCAAACTAGCTTCCTCCTCATGTTCTTATATGGAAATTTAGATGGTGCTCTCTCAAAAGTCTGTATGCTTCCCATTTGTTAATTGATCGCAAAGCAAATGAATAGTCATCCCTTTAGAGCTGACTTCTGATCTCCAAAACGGAGGTGCCATGTTTACACTGAAGTGTGCCCAAGGTTCAATTCTTGCCAGCAAACTTTCCAAGAATATCACAATCCGTTTCCTTTCTTTTCGTCATCTCCCTCCACGAAAATGTACGAACAATTTTTCACGAAGGCTATTGTCCAGTTGAAGATGCTACACTACAGTTATGCAGCCGTCTTTTCTAAGTGATGCTTTCTATTTATTTATTTTAAAGCATTGAGCCGCATGATTAAAATGCAATTTAGACGCTCGTTGCATGGAGGAAGGAGGAGGAGGGGTGCGGGAGGAAGAGCCAAGCACATGCTCGCACATACAAAGGCAGAAAATGCACCAAATCAGGCGGAAAGCGTTGCCATACAAGTGGCTCTTCCAAGTAGCTGCTGTAGATGATATTTAAAGTTCACACAGGGTATCGGAGGGTGATGGAAATGGGGGGTGGGAAGGAAGGAAGGAAGGAAGGAAGGAAGGGAGAAAGTGCTAGGCAGCCTAACTGGAAAGGTGCACACGCACACACATCTTTTTTAAGCAGACAAAAGGAAAACCGCCATGCTCTCTCGAAAAGAACAATACGTGCACACACATGCACACACGCATGTACAGAAGCATGCATCCTCCAGGTAGGTTGGCACTGGAAAACCAGCTTCAAATCCTGAGGCAAAAAAGGAAGAAGGGACAGGTAAAGGGGAGGCGGGGGGGGGGCATGCTGTGGGCGAAACCTGGCAAAAACCTTGCTGCAAGGATTCCTTTTTCCCACCTGGTCGGAGGGAAGGCACCAGGGAAGCAAGGAGCCGGAGCATCCCTTTCGCCCAGCAGGAGCCCGCTCCGGAGAAAGAGAGGCTCGTGCTGCTTCCCGCGGAGCCGGTGCCTGCCTTCGGGCAGACACGGGCGAGGAGAGGCGTGCGCCTGCCTCCTTTGTTCCCAAACGCTACGAGGGAGAGGCAGCGGTGGCCGGGCGACTAGCCCTGCGTCTCTCTTTCGCGTCCCAAGACGACGCCGAGGAGCCGTGGGTACCTGTGGCAGCGGCTCCTCTCTGTCCAGGTAGCTGTCCAGCCTCTTAGCTGTCCGTGGGTCTGTCCCGGGGAGAGCGGCAAGCAGAACTAAGCGGGTTGCGAAGGAGGAAACGGTAATTTATAAGCGCTTTCTTCCTGACCTCTCGTGTCTGTTGTCTAATGAGGGAGCGCTGAGCATCACCCATCCTGCTGAGTGGAAAAACACCAGCTCGTCCTCGTCTTTGGCGGGGGAGGGCGGGGTCGCGGCGGGGGAGAGGAGGGGCCATCTTGCAGGCGGCTCGTTCAGCACATGCAGCGAGAGCGAGCGGGCGGGCGGGCGGGCGTGCGGCGGGGCTGGGGCCGGGAGCGCCTCGGCTGGCAGGCGGCCCGCGCGAGGCGGGGAGGGCCGCCAGGCACGAGGAGGTGGGAACAGCTGCCTGGCCCGGGCCGCCGCTCTTGCACGGCCGGGAGGCGGGAAAGGGCGCCAGCCGCTCCGGGCGTGCGTGTGCCAAGAGGCGGGAAAGTTTCCCCCTCCCCGGAGTGAGGCAAAGGAGACGCGCTCTGGGTGCGTGCGTGCAACAGTGTGCGTGCGTGTGTGTGTGTGGCGGAGGGGAGTCACGGCTGCGATGCTGGGGCACAGCACGCGGCGCTCTTCTGTCTCGTCGCCCTGCCCGCGTGAGCAGGGGCGCGATTTCCGCCGAGCCCGGCTCTGCTGTAAGGCTTGTGGCTTCACAACCACGAGGGCTCTCGGCAGACGAGAGCGCTTCCCCGACCCGCAGCTCCAGCCTGGGGTAAATAAAAGGAGGATCCGGGTTTGCTCTCCTGCCCGTCCCGTCCCGTCCCGTCCCGTCCCTTCCCTCAAGCGGAAGCGCAAAGGTGGCGTTGCAACCGGTCACAGTTCCCGGGCGTCCCAGTTCCTGCTTAGACGGGGCACGGGTCGTTAGTGGCCTTGGGCAAGCTCGCTCTCTCAGCTTTTCGACTTCACAGGGTTGTTGTTTTGCAGCTGAGACGCTCTTCCGCGTTCTGCGAGGAGGTGGGGGAGGGGAAGGGTACTGGAGACATCTCAGAGGGATTGAAGGGGATACAGGCTTGCAAATGAGAATTGCCAGAGCTCAGCCTTGGTGCCGCCCATTTTCAGCACTAATATGTCAAGTAATGCTTGCATGTGGCACTGAATACCTAGTCACTGGATTGAGTAACTATTGTCCGTACACATCCGGAATGACAGGCTCCTGGTAGGAGGGTGTGTCTACCCCCGCGGGCGTGAAGATCGCCGTCTGGCACTTTGCAAGTGAATCGGGGCTCTAAACCCTGGACCCTGTAAGGCGTCTTATCATTCTTCACTGGAATACAGAACTTTCTGGTATAGCCCTATGCCAGTCAGGCAATATAGGCCATCCAGAAGTGGGGCAGCATCAGTGTGATTAGAGAAGCCTACTTTGTGTTGGATTAGCCTTTTCCAACCTGGTGCCTTCGTTTTGGTCTGCATCTCCCTGATGGTGTTGGTCTAAAACACATGGAAGGCATCAGGTTGGGAAGGCTGTGTTAGAAGTTATAGTCTGTATGTGAGTGTGACAAATTGGGAAGCACAAGGGACACACTCAGGCAGATGCAACTGTGCAACACAAAGAGATTGAAACAACTTCTGGAAAACCTGTGTGATGGTTCCCAGTGCCAGTGTGATGAAATCTGAGGAGTATACAGTTTAATTTTACCTTTTAAAAATCTGAAAATACTGAGGGATAGGTTCTCTTTCCAGAAATTGCAGTTAAACTTTTGCAGACTTTTATCTGAAGAAAACCCATTGTAATCCCCTAGGTAAGGTTCCAGTGCTCAGATTGGAAGGGACGGAAGTCACCTTCAACAGGAGGTATTTCGATCTGTGGACACCACCCTGTGCCGCCTCAGAGCTGCAGGGACACGTCCTCAGTGAAGTAGCCGCAGACCCAGGAATGACCACACGCATCCAGGCTGGCTAGTGGATGCTGGACAGGAAAGAGCAGGGTTCTTCCTGAGAGTTGCGTAAGCAACAAGTTCTTCAGGAGCTCTGGTGTGATCTTGTATCCTCTGATGTTTATTAATTGACTTTTCCTCAATCCTGCTTCCAGGTTTTTCCCTTGGGCCTGGTTTTCCCTTTGGGGCTACCCACTGATTTGTCACATGTTGTCTGGTGTCCAGCTACTTCCTCACCTCTTGCACAGTCCAGCCTTTTTCTTATCTGTTGTCCTCTTTAACTGCTGCTTACAGAAGACCGGTGCATATTGAAGGTGCATTGGCTACATTTGGGATGAATCTAGGAGTGGCACTTGTGTGGATTCATTAAGTCTCTCTTCTACCATGCTCTCATAAGATGTGCCCTAAATGGACCCTCATTTTCATCAGACCAGTGATGTTGCAATCAGCTGAGCAGTTTGCAGTCAGGCCAACCAGAAATATCTGTGTAAGGGGCCAATTTTGTGGGAAGGGAAGCTGCGGAGATAAAATCATTAGGACCGCAGACCAGCTGAACAAAGCATTGGCACTGGGAATGGGAATGGTCACACCCCCTCCAAGGGAGCACCATGAATGCACTGCCTTTTCCATTGAGAGAAGGGATAGAGCTCCCACCACCCCTTGATTTTCATCTTAAGGCTCACCATTTAACAAAGTCACCAGGCTGCAACATGAAAGGCTCCTGGGGAAACCATACAGCAAGAATAATCATTGTGAGTGCCCTAGGCTTCCCTGGGCTTTTATTGTTGTTCAGTTCTCTCATGTTGTTGAATCCACCATTCAAAAGTTTATTTAAAAAAGTCAGATAACTTTGGGCAGCAAATGCGTAAGCGGAAACTAAGATGTTTTGGAATCAAGCACATAAACAGTACCTGGAACTGACTAAAGTAATAATTATTATTATCATTCTTGTATAATACAAAATGGAGTACTAGTAGTTCTTGTTTTATTAAGCACAACCATTCAAAAGAGTTCTTCAAAATGATAAAATGTGTGTCAAGTTATATTGTTAAGTTCCAATCTTCACACACCATGTTCGTCAGCATGCTGTATCAAATTAATGAGACCTAGTAAAATAAAATAAATTTTGAGTTCTGGGTGGACGATTCATATTCATAGCCTTGAATGTCATCTGGCTGTTAGGAGTAATTAGTCTGATTCCTGTGGGTTTATAAGTGCTAGAAAGAAATAAAATGGAAAAAGGAATTTTGAATGTTCATGATGAATTTAAGTTTAATGAGGGTCATTAGAAGTGTTCTGATCTTGTATCTGTTGTATATAATGGGTGTCATTTGATTAGAGTCATTAAAATCATAATGTCCCTCAGTATGGAATCAGATTATTATCAGGTTGGTTTGACCTTCTCTTTGTAAATCTACCAAATATTCACTGAAATGTTAACCATGTAGGCCAGAAATACCTTCCACCTTAGTAGGATATCTGATTAATTTGTTACAAACATATGCTGCAGTTACTACAAAAAGACTGCAAGATTCCAAATGAGGGACAAGTATTTGGAAGCTGATGATGCTCTGACATAGTTACAGGTACACAGGTGAACACCCACTGCATGTGAGATGCAGGAGGTTCCTATCGTGCACAGTCCACACACAGTTCCTTGCCACAGGGACAGAGGGATATGCAAATATTCCAGCTACATGGGTGGAGATCATTTGGGCCTTTCCTAGCACCTGGTTGGCTGAATCTCCAAAGGGAGGGTGCTGATTCTGTGGGAAAGTTCCATGTGACCCCAGCGAATGGAATATTTGCCCATGCACTTGCATACCCTTCCATGGCATGGGATTGTATCACAAGAAGCCCCCACCTGCACAGTAAGAACATCTACATTTTCTCCAGCATTATGAGAACCTATCATGGACACCTTTCTGACTGGATGCATGTGGAAAAAGAGGGTCAGCTTCTCCAAAAGACATTTGTAAGTAAAATAATTAGGTTGTGTGAACTAGAACTGGATGAAGAACTGGTTGAAGTTTACTCTTTCCTGGAATTTATCCAACCTGCACCCATGGAACCACCAGCGGACCTGGATGTCATTGCTGGTCTGAGGTCCACACATTTCTGAGCTTGCAATGTGATCTGTGAAATAAGAAAATGTGTTCAATCAATATATGCATTGGGAAAATGCTTATTAAAATGGATATATTTTAAAAATCCAGACAAGCAATTCAGAAAAAAATTAAATGTACACATTGGAGATGTGCATTTGGACACGTGTGCACAATATGCACAATTTGAGTATACTCACCCCTACACACACAGCACACAATTCAGTGTGGACATGAATCAGAACAAGGACTGGAGATGGAAATTAGATACACAAGTTCAAGTTTTACTAATTCACAGGCCCCTATTGGCAAGTCTGTCAGCTGCAGAACTAATAGGGGATTTTCTGTGAAAACAAATTGTAGCTTCAGAGAAGGGATTTTCCTCAGTACTATAGCAGGGAAACAAGCTAAATTCCTGCTCTGCTCTGGTGCACTATCAGTGCACTCCCCACAGTTTATACAGTCTGTGTTGTAAAAGACCTTCAGGTTAGATGCAGTGTCACATTTAAAGTCCTGTCTATTTTGGCCTCAAGGAAGTTTCAGAAAGATTCAGGAAATAGACTGGGTGAGCCTAAGCAGCTCCTGGCAATGTTATTGGCTTTGATGGTTATGCTGGACTGATGTTTGATGTTCCATTTACTTGACTATCAAAGCAACTAACTAGATTCCTTTAAGAACAGCAATTAAAGCAAATGTTATATGGAGCAGAAAGAAAACAAATAGAAAGTATGACACAGCACTTAAAACCCATCAGTAAAAGGAGACCAAAGCCCAATGAAGCAAAACAGTCTCCTCCACCTTCCAGAAGGTAAATCAAACTGAGGCCAGGCGGACTTAACTTGGGAGGGAATTAGGTATCCTTGGTGCCACAACAGAAAATGCCCTGTCTTTGTTGGGATTTATTAGCAGAACATGGGGTGACTTTCCATAGCTTGGCAAGAGTTTCTGGTTCCCTTTTTAACAATAGCAACAACTAAAATACTTGGAAAACACATTAGGCTAATGAAATTAAGATACCTTGAGGGAAAACTTGGAATGGAGTGTTGTTTAAAGCAATTGTGAACTCATTTCTGGCATTAAAAAATTCCAGGGCTGAGCAGGTGTGTTGAGGCAACTTATTATTTAATTCTAAAGGAATGACAACTCCCTAAGCC